AGAATGGAGGAGAAGGGATTGCGGTGTGGCCATCCCCCCGGGGGGGTGATTTCTCGCTTTCTATCTCTGTCTTTCTCTGTCTTTCTGGTGAGTTCACGTGCCCTATAGCAAAAACCTCCCCCCAAAAAAATATATTAAATAATAATAAAATAATAAAGTCTCTTGTGTAATATGTATGAAAAAATCAAGCTTCTTTAGAAACCACATCCTCTTCCAACCACCATTTTTTCTCTACTTCTTTTCATGGTCAAATTTTTGCCTTTTTTTTTTTTTAAGTTCCTCTCTTCCCTCCCTCTTCCCTCACTCCTTCCTTACATGAAAGGGACAGAGACCCCCCCAACAAGGTATCACTGTCATAATCCCCCAACTGCAGCCAGCCTAGATTACAGGCATTTAGGCCGTGCCCAGCGCGTATAGGGAGGCCTCGGGACGCAGCCTGGGACCTACCCATGAGGCATCAGACTGCACACCACCTGGCTCGTTTAGCCATTTTTGTTTTTTGGGTTTTTTTTTCTTCCCAGAATTATTTATTTATTGTTTTCTTCACATGAGTTTTGCCAGAGAAAGACAGAGAGAGAGAGAGAAGAGAGAGAGAGGAAGAGAGAGATCTGGGACTCAAACTACAGTCGGCTATATGGGAATTCTAGTACCTTAACCACCATGCCACCTGCTGGCCCATCATTTAGCCTAGATCTTAACTGTTGCCAAATCCAATCAAGCAGAGCTCTTTTAATGCTACCTCCTGAGTACCTCTGAAAATCATTCACTGAAGTGTATTTCTATCCTGGTCCAAGTCACGAGCTCTCCGTGACAATAGCTTCCTAGCTACATTCGTGTTGCCATCTAGTTTTTACACAGGAACTAAAATGATATTCTAAAAGCCCAATTCCACTCATGTAACTCCTTCCTTAAAAACTCTCAAGTTGTGGAGGCCGGACAATGGTGCAGCAATGACACAGGATACTCTGCAAAGCTGACCCACGTGCAGATTCCGGTTCGTGTCGAGACTTCCCCGAGTACACAGTACATGGTACACACGGTCCGACATGACCCTGGCTGGCTGAAGCTGGGCGGATCACAGCGCCAGGATCTGCTGCGGGTGCTCTATCTGCCTCTCTTTACTCACAAACAATTTTGGGGGGCTTGGTACACCCCATTTTGGAGGACTGATACACACTACTGCTAACATTTTAGGCCAGTAAATATTTCCCCTGACCCTATGTCAGCAGCAGCGGTATTGTGCGTATTGTGGAAGCCACCGACTGAGGACAAAATCCAATTTCATCAACACGGTTTACATAGTCTTACGCAGATGTAGCTCCTCCCTTAATTCTTCCCTGAACCCTGGATTCCTCATGCTCTAATCATACAAATTTGTTTTTATTTCCATGAAATAAAAAAAAGCCACCCGTTTTAATGGCTTGACCGATGCACACCCTGCCTGAAACGTCACCTACAGTGCTCCCTCACTTATTTTTGAGTCTTTCGGGTTTCCGTTTCACTCTCTCCGAAGTCTTCCCTGACCTTCCCAGCAGAGTTTAGGTCTTCTAGATAGATGTTCTCATCATATCTTGTACTTTCCTTTGTGGATCTACCTAAATTATAATTAGTTATTTACTTGACACTTATTTCCTCCCGTGATGTAAATTTCATTATGATTCTAGTCTGTTCAGTGATGAATTCCTGGCACCCAGCTAACTGCCTGGGTTATAGCAGGCGTTCTCAGACATTTGTTGAATGGTTGAATAAATGAAAGACTGGTGTATTATGAGTACAAAATGTGATAAAAACAACTCTTTTACAGTGAGAACAAATCTTTTTATTAATTTATTGAGATAAACTACAGAAAATGAAAGACAAAAATCTTCATAAATCATTCAGCGGAACATTCATTAAAAATCAAATGCATATTCTTTAACAGTTCTCACACGGAAAATTTTATTTAAGTCTGATATAACATTAAATATTTTACAAATCAGACATTTCATTTTTAAACCTAGTTGTATAATCTTGAATGCACTATCGACAAATGAAATAAGATCTCCCTTACCAGTTTCACCTCACACAAGGCTTCCATTAAAACTCCCATCACGCCTTGACAATTACCTGCAGCTTTTAAAAACACAAAAGCTAAACTTTAAATGGAAAGAAAGTCTGATGTCGCAATCCAAGCATGAAACAAGTGAAATTGGTAAGAAGTGTTTCTTAATACAAATTAATTATAAAATATCACTTATATATGAGTTTCTTTCTTCTCACTGGCATAAACATCCAATTAAAAAGCAATTCATTTAGAAGGTGATGGTTAAAATACTCGAAGGTCACTGAAAATCTACTTCTTTAAAGGTGCTTTTAAATAACAAAGTGAATATGGACTGCTCAAGCTCTCGGGCTGGGTAAGACCTGTTCACATTCATGTCAGGGGTCGTCTGCCGTGCAGCTACTAAACATCTTGGCAATTCGTCACCCCAATTTTAAATAGTAATTCACTAAACGAAGACATTTCTAGAAACACTTCTTACCTTACTTATTTCCAGATTGCTAGAAATTGAAAGATACATTATATTTGAAGGATGGGGCTTATAATAGAAATCTCCATATTAAATTCTGAAAAAAGATCAACAGAAAGAATTCATGCCAATGAAATTTTATGGACTGATATTTGAAATTAGAAATAAGAATATCCACTGCTAATGGAAGCCCTGCTCTGTGCAAATATAGTGTGGTATATAATAAAAAAATTACATTTGAGGTATTAGCTGGAAAAAATATGTACATATCTATACATGGAGGACACATCCACAGAATATTCACAAATCTATTGGCCCCAACACCAGCAGATAATCAAATTAAATGAAAAGGAATCACACACCAACAGGAAAGAGTTACATACAGGGAATTTACAAAAACCGTGGTTACATAATCCTTAATATAAGGAGTATGTTTTGAGTTGATGTTTTGAGGAAAAACGTTTCCATTTATATGAAAGTACCTGTTTAATAGTAACAAAACTGTAAAGGAAGCCTGAATTCTAGGACTGTGTTGTATGCCAGATTATTCAAGTGGTGTGCAAGAACTCCTTGAACAGCCTTATTCTCTATACTTAGTCTTTGTCATTGAAAATTAGAATTAACATTTAAAAAAGGAAGTTACTGCCAGACTACTACATTCTTTTTTCATTGGTTTATACAGAACTGTATAGGCTTTTAACTAGGTAGCAGTCCAATGTGGCCAACGATAAGGTTTTCCAGCTATTTAGTAAACATTAAAATTCAGATTTTTGTTCATTTTCTTTACTTTTTCTCCACCCAGGTAAGCTAAAAGATTAGGAGTTCCTTTTCGGTTTGCTTCACTGTGTGTGAAGGTGGCCAGGAACAGAGAAGGAACCTAGCTGCGCATGAGGAAGCCGTACCAGTGAATTAATTTTCTTTCAACCATTTGGTCCTTCAACACAATACTTGCTTATCTGGAAGGATGTATCATTTGGTCCTTAGGCCAACATCAAGAAATATTTTTCACTGCTTTAACACAGGTGGGAGGGTCCATTTTTTAAAACAAAATAGGTAGAAATATATTACATAACATTAGCATGTCACATGTGCTAACAGCTACATTTAAAATATTACAGATCAACAAACGGGAAATCAAAGGCTCATCATTTTTTAGTAACTACTATACATACGGGTGTAACCGAAGACTTGATAGGAGGAAAATTTAAGCATAAAAGTACGATTAAGGTAAACGGCTGGCATTTCACATTCTGCTCCTGTGAACAACTGAGACGATAAGAAGCAGAGCAGTGTAATGCACGGACACACATACGCCTCAGGGACTTTATTATTTTCTACCAAGTCTTTGTAAACCATAAATAAGCACGTAATGCTAATGAGACAAATATGTAGTTTGAGCATTCAAATGTCATATGTCCCCAGAATATACTGTTTTCACTTAAATGGATTATAATTAGAAATTTTTCATTATGGGGAATTCAGTTATCTTATTTGCTCAAAATTTCAAAACTCAGGAATTATTAGAAGACTAGCACCAGCTATTTGAAAACTAAGGAATCAAAAGAGGACAAAGGTACTAATTCTCTTCCCCCAAATCCTCACAAGGATGATAACGTGTGTGTGTGTGTGTGTGTGTGTGTGTGTGTGTGTGTAAAGGGATAAAAATTTAAAGTGTTAGGAAGTACAACTGCCGCCAAACTTCTAAAGTACCAGTTAGAGATGCTAGTAAAGCAATATGCAAAGATTGAAGGCTTTAGGTGGTGATCAAAAATGACTGAATAGAATTGCAAAGGTCATTTAGGTAAAAATAAGATGGCAACATATTGGGATTTTATCATAAGAGCAGCAAACATAAACATTTTACTTCTCAAGATAATTAAAGTCTTTCTTTGTAAAGTTAACCCTCAATTTTAAGACACTTATTGGGCTTTACATCATGATTAAGTGACATTAAGGACCCAATCTTTACTTTCACACTTGGTATGTAGCTTACATAGGCACTCAATTGGTCATTTCCCACAGTTGTTTGAAAATTTTATTTTTCAAATACATTTCCCATAACATTTTATGAAATGTAATGGAATGCAGCAATGCGACTGAAATAGAATACTGTCCAAAAACCATGTGTGACTTTATGATATATAACTTCACTTAGCTTGATAACCTCATCCATCCCCTTAAGGCCAGGATTAAAGGAAAAAGCATCAGTCAACAAGAAGGTTTAGTTCCTGTAAGTATCAACTGTAATAGTATAAATTTCCCATTAAAACTGGAAAAATAAATAGGTGACATTTTTATTTAAATTTTTATAAATTTTCTGATGCATATCAACTTTCAAAAGTTAATCAGAATGATATGACCTTTTTTCTTTTTAAAAAGAAAAAAACTTAATCTACAGGCGCAAGAAAACATTTATAATTGTATTTTCTTTTAAGCATTGTTATTTTTTAAAGATCACATTTCTAAAAGCAAGTTGGTTAAGTTGTACAGTTTTCTTAGGACAATGTGTTGTTCAGTCTAACCCACTAATTCAATCAGGCATTTCTACTGATTTATCTGGAAAGGAGTATATGAAACAATATTTTAAAGAGAAGGTCATTTCAGTTGTTTCAGTCAACAAATGTTAATTAACTACAGCCAGAAAATTCTTTAAACCAAAGGACAAAGTCACTCTACCTAACATTTTCTCACTTTCCCCAAAAAACTACTGATATGTCTGTATCCCATTCACTGAGTAGGAGGCAAAATCATGAAACTATTTCAACTGTTGGGCCAGCAAGTGGTGTGGTGGTTAAGGCGCTGGATCCCATACGGCCAACTGTGCAGGTCTGCGTCTTGGACCCAGAGGCCTGAAAAGCATGTCTAACACAAGTGCATGTGTGTCCCAAATCCCAAAGAGAATGGAGGAGAAAAGACTGAGCATGGCCATCCCTTCTAGTGGGGAAGAGGAGTAATTTCTCACTTTCGCTCTCTGTCTCTCTGGTGAATACATACACTCTATAACAACAATTAAAAAAATCTAAAAATAAAAAATACATTTATATAGATATGTTGTTAAATAAGCATAGCAGACTAGAAGTCAAATAATTTCATATCCAATATATGGGCATCAAAGACTTCCATCTTCAACTGTTTATCTTTTAATTAATATTACAATTTTGATTATAAGGAGCTTATTCCTACAAGATGGCATTACTCAATGGCGAGCCAATTTCAGCTCACCATCCTGTAAGGATGACTTGCTACTCATCACTACTCTACCCGCAGCTCTACTTCCACTCACAGCTGTGTGGGGCCACAGAGCATGCTCTGATCCAAGAGTGGACCATAATCTATTCACAGGTTTAGGAGCAGGCAAGAGGGAAAAAAGGCACAAATCTACATTTTAGTAGTCATTTTTCTTGTTACTTAGTTTAGGAAAATCCACTTACTTTTGTATCCTGATTAAGTGATCACTAAGAAACTGAAATTTCCATTGGGGGAGAGTTAGGGGGACCCTCTTCCTCATAAATTTTAGCAGTCTTCAAAGATACACAAATAAACATTTAGGAACCTTTTAATTATTGAAATTGTGATTCCAATCATTAAATTTGGAATTTGCTGTTGAAGACCCTTTTAGCTTAGTGTTTATAGTCAATTCCTCATATTTTATTTTCTTTAAAGTTATCAGTATAGCATTTCATTTCTATGCATGGCTTAGCAATTCATAAAACTAAACAGCAAACTGATACTCTATGCCAGTTCATTTATCTCAATATATATTTTGGAATATAATGGCAATAATAAAAATATCAATTCCTTCTAAGCTGATAATGCTATAAGATTGTACACAAAGTTAAACAGCTTTTGTTTCTGTTTCATTTTGAAAAAGTTTCATTTACACGCCACATGTTTGACACCTGACGAAGAAAGTATAACTGTGTCATCTAACATTTATTCCATCAATTTAAACCAAAGTGTCTCATGGAGCTAAACACTAAAATAATTTAAATAAAAAAGTAATATCTGTATGTACACAAAGTGATCATTCCATAAATATTTACATGACAAGGGAAAAAATGGAAAAATCACTAAAACTGGAAATTGCTACAGGTGTGATCATCTTTACTCAAGACATTTTTAGTTAGGAATCATACGCTTTTGAAAATAAAATAACTGCAGAAGCATAACTAAAATATTAGTTTTAGTTTTCGGTTCTTACTATTGAGAGAAGCCAATAGCTGGCTTCTTTACAGAAGCCAACGGTCCAAGGTCTCAGAAACCAACTACACAGTTTAGTTTTTCACATCGAATCTTTCTCTTCAGCTCTCATGAGGAAACTAAACTCAGAGAAAAAATAAAGAGTATGCTAAAAGGTACAGATGAAACCCCCAGCTCAGCCTCCTTTGTAAAGACTGGTCAGCCGCTCCAGCTCTTTGCAGTTGTCCATGCTCAAGGCGTCCGCCTTCCTCCGCAGCCGCTCGTCCCGGTATACTTTCGCTGCATACTGCATGTCCGTCTCTGTGCACAGGCAAGAACACGTTTTGCTAATTAAATAATTTACAGGACCTGTTGCTTAAACTTAAATCATGTTTCACAGAAGCCCTTCAGTTTATTTTTATTAATTGATTTTTAAAAAAAAAAAAAAAGAACTCCAAATACTACACCTAAAAGCCATTTTCATAGAAAAACTTCTTTATGAAAACTTTATAAGAAGCCTGTCGTGGAAAACAAACATAAAGACACACACACACACACGAAAGGCAGAATCCTGTCAGGTTATGGTGGAAATCTTGCCCTCCACTGTTCTCCTCTGTGGTTTAAAACTCACTGCTTTGGAACCAGCAGATGGCATAGTGGTTACATCACTGGACTCCCACATAGTTGACCACGGTTCAAGTCCTGGAGCCAGCGGCTTGAAACTCATGCTGGGCACTCATGCACGTGTGCGTGCCTGCCCAAAATCCCGAGAGGAGAATGAAGGAGAAGGGACTGAGGCGGCATGGCCATTCCTCCTGGGGGGTGATTTCTCACTTTCTGTCTCTGTTTCTGTCTCTCCAGTCAGCATGCGTGCCCTATAGCAAAAATCTCTCTCTAAAAAAACAAAAAAACAAAAGCCACTGTTCAGAAGCATCATCTTGGCCTCTTATCCTGAAACTGTCACACGCTACTCAATCCTGCTGGTGGTTGTTTTGGCTGTGATCTTTTGTTAAGATGAATTATCCAAAGACTCATGTATAAAAATTTAAAATCTAGGGGGCCAGAAGTGGCGTGATGGTTAAGGTGCTAGACTCCCACGTGGCCAACTGCGGTTCAAGATCCAGAGCTGGTGGCTTGAAACACATGCCAGGTATGCATGCATGCCCAGAATCCCAGGAGAAGAATAGAGAAGGGATTGGGGTGAGGCCAAACCCCCCTACAAGGTGATTTTTCACTCTCCTTCTCTCTCTCTCTCCAAGAAGTGCATGTGTCCCTATGGCAAAAACCTAAAAAAAAAAAAAGAAAAAGAAAAAGTTAAAATCTAGTCTGAGTTCATTTGAATTAAAAAATATTTATTAATATAATAACATTAGTGGAAAAATGCTTGTTATACAACGATGACAGTGGTGACCAGCAAAAAAGTACTTCTGAGGCTTTTTTCCGTGTGTGTGGATGGCCCAGCTACTAATGAAAAATACATGGAATACAAATTAAAATTCCTCAGGAAAGTACCCCTGGCTTTTTCCTGTTATTCTCAGCCATTTCACTACTGCATGGGCACACTTAGAGAAGATAAAATAAAGGGGAGAAGGGTGGGAATCAGTTATGTTTTAGAAATCAGTGGCCGAAATCACGGGTGCCCGGTGTACATGCATCAGTCAGGACTGCATTCAAAGTATTCCCACAAGGCCAGTCTGGTGGTGCTGTTCAAGCCAAGCTGGACCCATATGAAGACCGAAGGTCGTGTTTCCTGGGCTGTCTGCACTCAGGTGGGTGCACACGTCCATGATCCTAGTTGGCTAGTCCAGTGTGAGTAGCAAGAGGGGAACAGGGCATGAAATCCTATTGTGAGGGTTCTCTTCTGGTCTCTCATGAAATACATAAATAAACTAGAAAAGAAATTCCTGGGACTAACAGTTGGTGTAATGACTTCTATGTAGTTGACTGTGGTTCGAGCCCTGACCCGGTGGCTTAAACTCATGCCGGACACTTGTGTGTGCGTGCCCAAGATCCCGAGAGGAGAATGGAAAATAAGGGATTGTGGCGTGGCCATTCCTCCGGGGGTGTGTGTGTGTGTGATTTCTTGCTTTCTGTCTGTCTCTGTCTGTCTGGCGAGTGTATGCACTCTATAGCAAAAAACTCTCAAAAAAAAAAATTCCCACAGGTTGGACTGTATTCCATTTGTAAAGATCTAATACAACTTTACACCTTTTATTTATAACAATGCCCTTGAAAATCCTTTTGCAGATGACTCTTCCCAAAAAAGGTAATTAAGAGCTGGTACCATAGTTCACACTGCTTACTACCTGGCAGTCTAGCTTCCAATCCAAATCTCCAACTCCTGACCTAATGTCCACTCTGTTACTTCAAGTGACTACCTGTACCTTTTTTTTTTTTAATTAAAAATAATTTAAAGATTTTTCCATAGGGTATGTATGCTTGCCAAAGACAGAGACAGAAGGAAGGAAAGTGAGAAATCACCCCCCAGGGAGGATGGCAAGGCTGCAACCCCATCTCCTCTTGGGATTTTGGGCATGCACGCACATGTGCCTAGTGTGAGTTTCAAGTCATCAGGTACGAGACTCAAACCATGGTCTACCAAGTGAGAGTTCAGCGCCTTAATCACCTCACCATCTGCTGCTTGTACTTTATAAACTATTATCTGTCTAGACATTATAAAAGTTACTTGAAAATAAATAAAAACTTAGTGAAAGAATATCCACTGACCAATAATCTTTTTTGATGATATTAATTTATAAAACGAGATACTTTCATCCCCATCAACAAGTTACATACAATGAGTAAATGTTACATTGAGCCTATCTGGTTTCTATTTTCCTTTGGAAACTCTTGATCTATATTAATAGATGGTCTAAATTTGTTGAATTTTATTTTGAAAAAATTTCAACCTACATAAAAGTTAAGATCAGGGCCACCCCCCGGGACCCCGCGCCGAGCGCGCAGGGCGGCTGCGGGCGGAGTAGGCCCTGCGCCGGCCCACCCAGGCCCGGCTGCAGGTCTCCCGCCACCCCCAGGGACCCCGCGCTGAGCGCGTGAGGCAGTGGCGGGGGGGC